CCATAAAACTGCAGTCGTGACCTGTTTTGTCTCTGGCTGCTTTTTGATTTGCAACCGCAATCATAGAAAACAATCATATCAGCACTTACATCCTCTCTGCTAAGGAAAAATGAGCAAAAATTGTGGATATTCAGTGGTTGGATGGTTTTACATAACCATATTGTTCAGTTAAAAATCAAATAAATATTGTTAATTAAAAGATGTCAATCGAAATAAAGTCACATCTGCTTAAAAATGGTTTTCAAACTAAATTATGTACACGCACTGTGTTTTAATGAGGTAAGAGTTTGAGCATAAATACTGAAATAGAAGTGTTGGTATGTATATAACCAAAAARAATAGAAAGAACTACAAATATAATCAGAGTAATGTCAGATTTTTAATATACGTAGTACTAGAGAAACCTGGTTTTGCGTTTTTCAGTATTATGTCCTCTGGTGTGCCGGAGCACCCTCTGCACCCATACTTCTCATGGCCTTTAACTGTCTTCTTTGATGTACAATCCATGCCTTTGCAAAACAACATAAACTTTACAGTGCAGATAAGATCAAAAATCTAGACATTTTTAAAGATATGCTGAACAAATGTTTAGGTGAGTATAAATTAACATTAGATCTGGTTTTTGAGTTTTCACCATAAAGTCTGGTTATAATATGCTTGGATTTTTAAGCTTGAATTTCAWATTTTACACAACTGCCTCATGTGAAATGTTATGTACAGGCACACTTTTATTAAGTGTCAAAGCTTTAGTCGTTTAAAAACTACACTTTAGTACAGTTCATTCACTACATTAAAACAGCCAGTCAGAGAGATTTCTTTCAATTACTAACCTGGCATCAATTCAACTTCCCACACTGGTTGCATAGAAAGAAAGAAAGAAAAAAAGACACGGTTCAACAAAGCCAGCGTTTCATCACACACTGAAAAGACAAGAGAGAGACAGATACGTGCAGACGCTCCATACATCCCCAGCAAGCCAAAGTGTCATGTTGCTGCTCAACACTGACGGTCTCCTCCAGCTGATTTGTAAGGTTCACCCTCTTCCTCGACGTTGCATCGTTAAGGTCACAGTGAAAACAACGGATAACTTTGTTTCTCAAACTACTTGCATTGCCAAAGTTCCCAGTTTTTTATTTATTTATTCATTTTTATTTATTTAGTTACTTATTTATTTTTGCAGGGCAGATTTATCAACACCTGTGCATCTCATAGTTTCTGCTAATGGGTGAAGCCTTTCCAGAAAACACAGACTCTTCTGTCTCCTCATAAAAAAAACCTCAGCAAAAATCAAAACAAAGTTTTATCTATGATGGGATAGTACTTTCAAAATATATTTTAATTGAAAGGGTAGGAGTGTTTGATGAAAACTGCTTGAATTAAATGCACAGCTTTTCCTGCAACCGTAAATGAACTCAGCTGAACATCTGTGAGAGACCGCTCTGAATTAAACAGCTCCAGGTGGGATGGTGTTTCACCCCATCAGTGGGGATCCTCTGAAACACACAMAACCTAAATAACACCCTTTGTTGTGTTTTAGGCACATCTCACTTCCTGTAGCTAGTCAAACTGTGCTAATTATTAGTCCTAATRTCTGCTTTTATGTGGTCACTTTCTCCTTCTGTTATTAGGTAAAGAACAGCTATGAATGGATCTTGGAAGATGAACAATTTCCCAAGCTGAAGTTAGTGGAAATGAAAAGAAACAGATATTTTAAAATAACAGAGATGTGACATTTAAGAACGATCCAAATCTTTTGAGCGCCTCCTTATAAAGAACACTAGTTTTGAAACAAAATCATCTGTTACTTAAAGACATTCCAGCTGCAAATAATGCTGGGAAAAATGTCTAAAAATTATTATTATTATTATTAGTTTTATTATTATTATTTTTACTTTTTACAGTAGTTTTGATTGTGGACTACAGTTTTTAAAATTCATATTAAAATCTCTGTTTTTGCCTGTAAATTAAAAACATGAGTTAGACGGTTTGTTTCTAAGTAAACTATTCTCTTCATTTTAGCAGCCAGTTCACACTTTGTTGTAACCTCACAAGCATCAATGGTAATTTTTTATTCTTTGTTTGTGTGTGTGTGTGTGTGTGTGTGTGTGTGTGTGTGTGTGTGGGAGGAAGGGAGGGAGTTTGTGCTGGCAGACCACTAGAGAGAGAAAAGTTGCTGTTTCATAAGAACATTTCTTTCATGTCTTTGAAAGTTTTCAGGCTCCCTTTATTTCTTCCCACACTGTTTTAATGAATATTTACATAAAAGCTAAAAAGATTTTAGTTGATGTCTTGTATCCAGGCAAAGTTTCTGGACACACCTCTAACATTCTACCCACATTTTTTTCACAWACTGCACTGCACAATGTTGTGCTTTGAAAAACAGAAAAAAAAGAAGAATTAGCTTGAATGAAGTTTAAAATTCTTTGGATAGACAGTAGATCGGTTCAGCAGAAATCAGAAGATCACCAGTTTTTGTCGTTGGTCGTATTGTTCTCTACAAAGAGGGGAATTTACCCAGAATATCTAGCTCAGAAGGAATAAAGCGAGTCTGCTGCGATAATGTTTAAGCTCCTCAGATGCTCTCAGATGATCCAAAGCAGGAACATCATATCCAAGGTAAGCCTCCAGTAAACCCACGATGTCGAGGGGAGCCAGAGGGAAGACGTGGAACAAAGAGTTGTGTTGTAGATTTGATGGAGAACAAACATGTTCCTGCAGATAACGCTGTTGCAGGACCTCTGTCGACTAATCAAAAACCCAAGTACAGATGTGGGCAGAAGTGAGAGCTGACGCCCRTCCCTTTTTTTTATTATTATTATTATTTTATGAATACCAATTTTGTCCATCTCACATTTCCCACTCAAGGCTTTCTGAAAATTGTTTGCAAGATTTGAGTTGGCAAAAATGTTGATTCACAATTTTTTCCCCTTTGACTCAAAGCAATAACCTAAAATAGGAGCTACAAGTGTAGGAGTTTTTTTTTTTTTTTGCACTTGGTCCTGCTTTTAAGGGTAACTACTATCCTCCTGCAGTATTTCAATGTGCTGGGGCTGTTTAAAACTAAATACATGCAGACATGCAGAGCCTACGCTGGGAGAAACGTGAAGTGGGGGGAAAAACTGTTTTATTTAAAAAAAGGATTTGTAATT